GGGGGAAGGCATGTTTCATTGCTGTGACAATTAAGGCCTAACAGAAGCAAGCTGGACCATCATATAGGAAATGCTTTAGTCTCACCTCCCAGAGCAGGGCTCTGCTTCCTGATTAGATTTGTATTCCAAATTAGGCACTTAGTGCCTAAAAGCAAAGGACAAGAAATCTCCTTTTGCTCAGCGAGCAAGTCCCTTGCCCATCAGCCAGCAATGTAAACAAGTAAGACAAAGGGTGAAAAAGGAAAGGATACCACATAAACTAAGTGATCAGGATGACCATTAGGAACACAGGGATAGAAGTGATCTCAGAAGTCAGTCTACCACCCTACTCAGCAAATAAACCTGAGGTTCCTGACAGAGGTTTGTTACCTATTATCACAAGGGTAAGAAAGCAGATGTTTCGAGATCTAGTTTACTGCAACATGTTCAAACACCTTGTGCCATTAAGCTTCATGTCAGAGGCTATACATTGTGTTGACCTTTAATAACGCGTATAAGGTAGTATATCAGTATTCCTTCATTCCAGAAGTTTATGTTGCCATCAACTTGAAGACAACACTCAGCCAAGAAACATGTACTCAGCTGTCTCTCTCTCTCTGTAGTTAATCCTTTTGGAATTAACTAACTAGTATATCTAGATTCATAAAGGATGCTGAATACTCAGAACACATTGAAAAGGTAATTTGCTACTTGCTGTTTGCAATTCAAACATTTCATCTAAGAGAGCAAGAAAAGGAGTCATGACATTAAGAACTAAAATAAGCGGCTTTCTGTTAAAAATACCTAGCTTTATAATTTCACCCTAACAGTCTATACCAGAATATTCCTACAAGGTAGCTGGAGTTGGTTCACAATAAGAGTGGAAACTGGATGCTTATGGACTTCGTTCCCTTGCCTGCCCTTCAGGTCAATCTCACAATGAGAACACAAATGCACATTATTCTAGCCTCTCATTGGGGTGGCCATTTGGAACACGCAGCATTGCATATGGAATAAATATGCAGTAAGATCAGACTGCTTTCAATTTTAGTGCTGTTTTCTACTCTACCACAGTGTTACTTCACGAGTAACTCAATTCTCACAAACAGAGCAAGCCAAGCCAGTGCACAGATAGAAGACCTTAAAAAGGAACCCAATGCTGTAAGCATATTTCTTTGAAATCAGTAAGGAACTCAAGTACTAGAATATATTTGTTTTTAACTTTTCAATGACAAATCCTGAACACCTACAGCTAATTAAGTAATAATAAATCAGGCAATGAGCATGGCATTGGGCTGGACAGCTGTTTCTTTTTGGGCAATTACAGTTCATAAACCTGGTTTTCCCAGCACTTGGACTGACGGGCTTGGAAGTAGACGATGGCTGAAGGTCAATGTGGCAGCCTTAAGCAGTTTATGAGGTGATGCTGTTATGAGCATATCATTTGCTAATAAGTCACCTAGTTTAAAGCACATTAAAAAACCGATGACAATACTATTCATGCACATACTTCCCATGCAAAATTAATTATATACCCAAAACCCCACAGCACTATACGAAGGGAATGTGTACATCCCAGCTTTTCAGAGAAGAAAAAAAAACTAGCAACAGAGGGGCAAGCTGCAGGCAGCTCCTGAACATGAATATCAAGGGACAGAAATAATTTAGTAGTGTAATAAGCCAGATCCAACTCTGAAACAATTGCTAGAGCAACTTGGAAAGGACCTATACTTGGAAGGTCAGAGTCTGAAGATAAGGCTGTAAAATTAACTTATGTCAAACAGAAATAAGAGGACAGTAAGGGGAAAGATAGGAAGTGCCTCTTGATGTGGTGCTTGTATATCCTTCATATGAAGTCTTGGCTACAGAGGAATTACCATAAAAACTGGTAACTGACAAAAAAAATTAAAAAAAAAATGGACAGTTCATAAATAGCAATAAATACAACTGCAAAGACTGGCAAGATTAACAGATTTTGAAGAAATGCATAGCTTGCACCCAGCTGGGATGGGGACAAACTTGCAATTAGAGGGAGACCAGTTCTGAGGCGATCCAACTAGGCTTGAGAGGAAATTAAAGAAAAAAAAAAATGTAAGACCGAGTGCCAGGTAAGGCTTATCTACAGCACAACCCTACTATGCAGAGGGATAAGCTTCCAAAGAAGCTATTCTCCAGCTGGCCTAGAGAACCCTAGAAAGTAAAGTGAAGACTGGTTGAAGAAACAACCTCCTCCTTGAGATAGACTTACCATGGAACAATGAACCAAGTTTGTGTTCCAATTGCCATAAAATTCCATGTGCTAACAGGGCATTAGTTACAGATATGGAGCAGCTTTAACAAGAGATTGAGTAGAAAATGGCAGGTAAGAGAGAGATCCCAGAGCATCCAATAAAAGGTGCATCCAAGAATAAGCCTTCCTAGAAGAGATTACAACCTAACCAGCATGCACAGCTACCTTGCTCTAGTACTTAAAATACATCTTAGGGGAAATAATACAAGTCAGTTAATTTTTTTTTCTCTACACAAGGTCAATCTGGTGACTATTTATACATTGTCTTGTGTAATTAGTGTTGTCTCTGACTAAAAAGAAAGTATAACCTGATAAACAAAAGTTATATCATGCAGACAAGCTGTAAAGCACAAAGTCCAGTTTCTTATAGTTTAGTAACAGGAAAAAAAAACCCAAACAAAACATAACTAGGCTTTAACATCTAGTAGGAGTTCCAATTCATTTTTGTAACCAGTAGATACATTTCAGATTCACTTCCTTTGGTGTCATTTAAATTCACAAGCTTGAAAAATAAAAACAAGGTACTATCTTAGGAGTTAGTTGCTGGGTTTGTTATATTCTAGGGGTTTTTTTAACTGGGGGTACTTGGGATGGCCTCAGCAGGTACTCGGCACACTCACCAATTGGCTGCCAGGGCCACCCCTCACCACTTGTCTGGCCGCCGGGGGACTCCTGCTTTCTCAACCGGCTGCCAGGGATACATTGACCCAAAAAGGTGGAAAACTCCTGTATTCAGTATAGAAGATAACGAATGGCAGAAGACTAAGAAACTTACTTATGCCATTAAGAACTGGCCAAGAACCTTCCTTGTAAGCAAAGCAGAGGCATAGGTAGATTTAAAACAAACAAATCTGAACCTCATTGTTATACAGAAAGGAAACTTCAGATTTCAAGCTAATTAAATTGGGGGTAAGGGGAAGAAATCTGGTCTTCCAATTGGTTAGCAAAGGATACTGTAAACATGAAGCCCAGGAGGTAAAGTAATGTCTCCCCAGCATGCTCCCACTCCTGGTGCACATCCAGCTGACACACTTATCATGGCCGGTACTGATAACCCACTCTGATGTCAGGCAGAAAGTGACAGCAGACACGCGATTTTGATGAGCTGTGGAAAAAATAAATAAATAAATAAATAAATAAAGTGGTTTTGGAACTTTTTGCTACAAATGCTTCAGTTAGTTGAAGTCTCATAAAAAAAAAAGCACACAAAACGTAAGGTAAGAGGTATTTGTGACAGTTGGAGACACCAATTCCAGAAGAACAGGGCTTTAACCTCTAGTCATACTGACTGCAACCCAGAAGTAAGAGTTACCACAGTTCAGCTCTGAATTTGCTACTACAGTAAATGGATAAATAAATTAGCATGTTTGAAGGAGCAAGACTGCAAGGGGGGGGTGGCACTTGGTTTAAATCCAAGACAACTCCCATTTAGTCATCTCCCACAAAATTAAAGTCCCCTTCCAGTCAGGACAGACTGGTAGCTGATCCCCAGTGAATTAGGTAGTTCAGCATTATGTAGACTAGTGCAAAAGAAAACAATGCAAAAAGCTGAAGAGGAAACAAAGTAAAAAGGCACCTTCCCCCAATTTTTTTTTTTTTTTAAATGCATGTATTTTTTCCTTGATTAAACATAAAATCATCTGCTTTATGATAAAAGAGCTTTTGTTGCTTTAAAGAAAAAGAGTTCTTTATTTTAGGCAAGAACATTATGTCAGAAAGTCATAAGACCAATTGATTATTACCTCAAAGGCCTACAGATGACTTTATGCTAAAGGCCAGAAATATGCAGGGGAAAGAGAAGTAGACTTGAACACTAACAACTTAACCAACTGAGTTTGGTCAAATGTTCTTTATAAGAAGTACTAAATGCTTGGAAGGAAGTTATTTCATCCACATTGGGTCTCTGTTAGTGAAGCTAATGTTAGAACTCAAGTGGGGAAACTTTCTTGGCTCTTAAGTCACTTAAGCTCCACAAAGTGTCAGAAGGTATCCTTGCTTAATTATCACCTACATACAAGTCCTCCCCTTATTAGGATATACACCAACTGCTATTTTGAGAGTCTATGTAGTCTTCAAGTCAGTTTCTGCCACCTCCACTGGCCCCTAAATAAATTAGTTATCCACAGATTTAAGTATCTAGGGACAGATTATTAGATCTGAACAGAAATAGCCAGAGCTAAAACCTTCAGTGTTTTGCAGATTACACTTGTATGGGATTTTGATTTGTACTTAAACTCAACTTTTTGATGATAGTTTCCAATTGTACAATATCCCACAAGCTGCACTTAAAAACAAAACAAAACAGTAATCACCTCCTACATCCCACCCAAAAAACTACTCAGACTGCATGTCAGAATATTCCATTTTCTAACATTCAGATCTGAAACTTAAAATTCTCTGTAGTGCTCTATAACAAACCAAAGCCAGTCCAAGACATTTAATCCTGTATTTAGGATACAGATTTTTTTTTTTTTTTTTTTTTTAAACAAAAACCAAGGTAACAGCCATCATTTACTGCAAGTCACCAATCTCTGGTATGCAACTACTCAGCAGGCACCATCACAATTCAGCCTGGACCAGTTCAGAGAATTTTTTTTTTTTTTTTTGCAAGGGGGGGGAGGGGGGGCGGCTATATATTTGTGGAACCACACTATGTTACCTGGGTAGGTCTTGACAAAATTCATCTTATTAAAGTCTTCTGAGATATGAAACTCCTAAAAAGGTGGGGGGGGGGGGGGAAAAAAAAAGTTAGACAGCAGAAGGGTACACGAACTCAGGCTGACGCAAAACAGCCTGTTTGAAGAAGATCCTTCATACCGAGACCAAAACAAGGCAAAGAAAGCAAAGCAATAACCTCACAGAATGGAACAGACTGGTACCCAGAGGCAGAAAATGTCTTGTGCTACAAATTGATAAGGTCTCAGAAGCCCCCAAAACTAGCAGATGCTCTACTAGCATCTTCCTCAGGTTTTGCCCGAGTAAGAGATGCATTAACCAGCTAACTTTAGCTGTTTAAGTGTAAAAATGTCTTCTAATACTTCAGGCATACATTCATCCAGTACATACCATATACTAGTTCCTCCTAGAAAAGAAGTTTCCAGTCTCAATCATTTTGAAGTTTAGGCAGGATTAGGATTTCCCACCTACATACACATATGAAAGGCAAATAAAGAAGAACAGGGCCTACACAAAGGAAGGATGCAAGGTGTGCAGAGTTAACCCTCCCCTTAGAGCTGAAAACCTAGTTCTACAGACATCTACACTACAAGCAAGGATAATCAGCAGCATGGAAACTGTTCAAGAGAAGACTCAAATATGGTTTTCAGTTTTTCCAGTTACAAAATAAAAGGACCAGCTATAACTAACTCCATTTATGTGTTACAGCCAGTCTAGTAAAATCCACAATTATCAAGCTGCCTGCTGGAAAAGATTTACATTTAACTAGAATTCTTTAGAGAAACTGCTGCAGTAACTTACCATAATAGCTCCATTATCCTGACCTACAAATATTCGTCTACTGTCATGATGATAAGCCATAGCTGAACAAGGAGCTGCCAAGAAAGCCAGTACATTGAGAAATTAGACAGATGTTAAAGTACATATATCACAGCAACTCAGCCTTTTGGACCACAAGGACCAAAAAACTGTTTTTGATGAGCAGCAGACAGTTAGACAGCCTTCAGGTTTGTTTGTTTGGCAGCAGGAGTGGGGGAAGCAAGCAGAAAGAGTTTTTGATTGAATTTCCTCTACTAGTTTATGAAGTACATACACCATATATAAAAAAAAAAAAATCCTCCATGAAGGTGCTCAGCCTCTGGAAGATGAGATGCAAGCCTCAGGCAAAAGATAAAATAATTTGATCAAGGCCAAAAGGAGTTACAGATCAGAAGTCGAAGCTTCACATCGAAAGACAAAGAAATGGCATTTCAAGTGCTAAGTGTGACATGCAGGGCAGTACAATTGTATCGGAACACATTTTTCTGGGATCTGATCATGGTAATCAGCACTACAGGGCAGGGATGGCAGGACAGAAATAATATTTGATCATGTTAACCTGATGCAAGAAAGCACTTCAAGATCTGCATCTTGGGAGAGGGGAGGGATAAATTCTGTCTGTGGCCATCTGATTACCCACAGGCTCTTTTGACAGTCAGTGTAAGACCAGGAAAAAAAGAAAGAGCTCAAAAAGGAGGAGTAGGAGGATCTTGGAAATATAGTCTGCAGGACAGACAGGAAAGTGCTCAAAAAGGGGGGGGG